GCGAGTGAAAACACAAACTTTTTTTGCCCAAAAAAGTCCGTGATGCACGTGCTTCGAAGAGCCGAAGCGATAAGGGCGGTCTCGAGTTCATTTCAAACGGCAGCGTGCTTTTCGCCGAGGCCCGTGGCATAAGCCACCTGAGGCACTAGCTCCAAGGTTTCGTCATTCTCGCAATCCGATTCTTCCAAATCGCTCTTGCCGCGTACTTAGTTCACAATGCCCTAATCTGTGCACGGTTCCGCAGTGTCGGCATCATTGTCGGCCGTAATTAAACTATCGAAACTGATGTCCCACCCGCTCTGCCAGGCCGTAGTCGACGATGCGCTGCCATAAATCGCCGCCGGAGTGGTCCTGTTCGGAATCTTCAGGCTTGGCATCAGGCCCAATGGCGACGAAGTCGGCCTCGCGAAAACAGTTTGGCGCGCATGTAGCCGTCAACGCCGCCCACGAAATATTCACCATCTCCAAAGCTGAATACCGGGACGCCCGAAACGGCAAGTTGGCTGCCAGGTGGTCAACAGCTATGAGCAAGCACTTCACACCGCGGCACCTAACGCGCGGATTACGCCCTAAGCCAAGCGGTCACACTTTCGACGTTTTGTTGAGCGGCAGGAAAAAGCGTGCAAGGCCTCCCGTCCGCCATCCTGACCACACACACACACACCGAGAGCGAGCAAGAAGCGCACGTGCAACATGCATGCCAGAACGCTTGGTACAGCTCTGGGCTCGTTTCTAGACGGAAATTGAAACTAATTCTAGCCAGCATGGCTGGCCTCGCTGGCGTCATGGAGCAGTGAAGACGAGCCAAGGGGTTGTAATCAAGAGAGGAGAGCATATTAGCGAGAGAAGAGGGGAAAGGAGTTGCGATAGAGAGGGGATGATGCGGCGGGAGGGCGTCCTTGAAAACGAAAACACACGGGAAGGAGGCAGGTTGTGCAGCCTGCTTAAAAGGTTCGCGGAACGTGCAACTTGCACGTACAAAAACTTGTAAGAGTGCCTGCACACGCAGAAGTCAAAGCACGGCCGCCTGGGTCGGCGCGCGGCGGTGTTCAAAGAATTGGCGGCCTTGTTCAAAAAATTGTTTTGGTGTGCCGGCGGGTTGCGTGGCTTCACCAACTTTGATAGTTAGCGATTCGTTCCGTGCAAATTAACAGCCGTTTTCGCACTTGCGCACGCGTGCGGAGGGCATACTGAGCAGACTGCGAAGTGAGCGAGAACAAGTCCTAAACACGAAACGAATCTCAAATTATCAGAGTCGGTGGGGTATCGTACGCGTGCGCACTAAACGCAGACAATCGGATACAGTCGGTGGCCGATAATGTTGGGAAACGGTCTGGTCACTCCAGGCCGGCGACGCCAATGACAGTACCAGCGATCAAAAACAGGGTAGATGCAGTCGGTGGCCGACGATGTTGGCAAATGGTCTGGTCACTCCAGGTTGGCGACGCCAACGACAGTACCAGCTATCAAGAACAGGGTAGATGGCCGACCAGTCTTCGAAAGATCGGTGGCAGTGTGAAAACACGGGCCTTGTCTGGTGATGCGGGGTGTTCAGAGTAGCAGGTGGACAAAGGACGGAGGGGTGCGTAACAAAAAGTGGTCGGGGAGAGCGGCAACTAGAGGGGCACGGATGCAGGGTCGGTGTTTAACATAAGCAATGTATGGGCACCTCGCCGATGCCTCATTGGTGGTCGAAAGTGGTTTCCAGGGAAGTTGGCAGAGCGCCGACTCTGTTCGCTGTAACCGATCAGCGGCGCTCAGAGACGTTCGTTGTAAGTGCGATTTTGTGCCATTGAACCAATGTATATTTTCACGGTCACGTGGATATTGTTCATTTTAAGCGAAAGTTTGTTTTAAGTGGGGCCGTTATATGTGGGCTCGACTGTATTACAGTGGTCTACAAATCCAGCAGAAAACACACCAATGCCGACTGCCTGTCGCGCGCACCTGTTGATGCAAGTGGGTCAGCGGAAGAAGACTTGGCGTTCTTAGGCATTGGCAACATATCGGAAATTGCTCAACAACGAGATGACTGCTTATACAACGGTTGCAAGGACTCATTGTTCGAATCCCGCGAATTTTTTCCCGAGGACTCCCTTCATTCTTCCTTCAAGGAAATGTCCTTTACAAGACTTTGAGCCCAATGGCAAAAAGTTTATACTAGTTGTACCCACGTTTATGCAAGAAGAAATTTTGCACACATGTGGCGATGAACCGACATCGGGGCATCTGGGTGTGAGCCGTACGTTCGGCAGAATTCGGATGAGATACTACTGTCCTAAGTTGCTATCATCAGTGTAGCACTACATAAAAACTTTTCGAGCATGTCAAAGACGAAAAACTCCATCCGTAAAACCAGCAGGCCTACTCCGGCCAATAGACCCGCCGAATGCCCTATTCCAACAAGTCGGGGTGCACCTCCTAGGACCATTCCCATCCTCATCTACAGGAAAGAAATGGATAGTTGTCGCCACAGACGATCTTACCCGTTACGCTGAGACTGACTCTTTGTACAGTATGACAGCTCTCGAAGTTGTGAAGTTCTTCAACAACATAGTGCTCAGACATGGTGCTTTGCCTGTAGTAGTTACAGATCGTGAAAAAGCCTTTACTGAAGAGTTAATGCAATGTCTCATGAAATTGACACACACCGATCACAGAAATACTATGGCATACCACCCTCAAATGGCTTAACGGAATGCCTCAACAGAACGCCTCAACAATGCCTCAACATGCCTTCAATCTATGTCAATGTCAATGAAACACGAGTGGTGCCATTTGACCTTTTATTCGGCCAAACAGTAACAACACCACTGGATGCCATGTTACCACTAAATGAAGAAAGCAGAATTCCACCTGACCTAGAGGATTTCTTGCAAAGAGTTGAGGAAGCACGACAGACGGCAAGATACTGAATACGCTGCCAACACCGCATCGATTCTAGCCGGCACAACTAGCGCCGTAGTGAATCACATTATTAGCCAGGAGACAAAGTATGGATATGGACCCCTGTGCGTCGCCGTGGACTCTCTGAAAAGCTTCTTTGCCGATACTTTGGCCCTTACGAGGTACTGCATTGTATAAGCAATGTCACCTACGAAGTTAAACCTGCTGGACATACGGGCCCAAGATGCCACAATGTCACTGAGGTGGTGCACGTTGTCCACATGAAGCCCTACTATGACAGATGATCGCAAGACGAAGGCCATCATGCAAGCATTCTTTCAGTGTCTAGCGCATCGAGACGATGCGTTCGAGGAGGGGGGCAATGCCGTGATATATTGGCCACATTCAAATTAAGTGCCTTTCACTGAGCCGCACAGAGACCGAGGTAGCACGAGCACCTGGCCAGCCCGCATGCGTCACGCACTCGGGCTTCTGGTGAAGAAAAGAAAAAAAAAGTTCTCGGAAATTTCTGTGTGGTTCGACGCACTCGCAGTTTTCTCACAGTTGCCTTAACTTGTGGGCACAAGTTTGCCCTAATAAAAAAGTTGGTTTTACAAGCCTGTGTGCTTCAGTATCGCGACAATATAGTCATCTACAGACATTTTTGACAATGAAGCCTCCACGATTGGGGACGAATAGCGGGTGTGCCGATGTTCGTCGTCATGACTGACTCCAGGGCGTGCAGCGGTGTAGCTGTTGTGGAGCCTGATATGTCCGAGGGGTCGTGGGCCATAGAGGTTGGAGAAGTCAGGTGGATAGCAAGCGTACCTGAAGGACCATCTGTCGAGGATTTCGAAAAAACGCACCTCGTAACGGACTGGTCGTTGGCAGCACGAATGTTTTGAACCTCGTCGGGTCTATATTCAGGCGTGGGAATTGCTGCTCTAGTGGCTGGACAAGAGGGGGAGGGAGACGTTGCCAGCGAAGTTAGATCGAAGTCAATGGGGGGATTCAGGTCAGTTGGTACCGCTCGCTGCAATGCATGGGAAACCTGGAAGTTGTATGTTCCCGGAAGCGGCTGGTAGGTGTGCCCGTAGGAGGCAAGCACAGTAGAGCATAGATCATCGTAGGGCTGCGGGCTTGAGCTTGATGTGGCAGCAAGATTACGCAGTTTTACCGGGAGGGTGTCGAGAAGAATGACATGGCGTGCATTGTTGGCTGTGCCGCGATGCCATTCAGTGCGAGAGTTGCGTTCAGCTGCATGAACCATCCTCGCGGGTAGGCGAGGTGGAAAGGTTTCCCTGGTGGGCAGAGTCGCGGAAGCATGGTAGTGAGATGCTCGGTGAAGGGCATGCTCTTTAGGTTGCCACTTTATTCTATAAAGTCAAAGCAAAGCAGCCATAGCTGGCTGCTTTCTATCCACCAGGTGCGAAGACTCGATTTGTTTAGCACGCACCTTGAGCTCTGAGCACGAGCACCGCGAGAGGCGCAGCGCTGTGACTAAGAAGTGATGATGAAAATGAAGGTGCTACAACTGTTTATGCCTGTTTGCCATCGCGTACCACATGAACTTTATTGCAAGCTGGCAGCTGAGCAATAATCTCTCGTATACTACCTGAAGGAACTACGTCTGCCAAAATGAGACCCTCACTATGAATGAAGGAAATACGTTATGAATGAAGGAAGTAAGTGCGTTGGCTCATTTTATTTTTTTGTTGGACATAATATTAATGAGATCTAACAGACAATCATGTCAAGGGAAGTATAGGGGGCATTATTAGAAGTAATTTCAATGTAATTCTGTAGAAAGAAATGTGGACGAAAAAATAACTTGCTGTGATCAGGGACCAAATTTGCAACCTTTTAATAAAGTGTCGGATGCTCTGCCAACTGAGCTACCACAGTGGCTATCCCATGCCTACTGCGTTTATACTCGTGGCCTCCGTTTAAAACAGTAGTGCAGTAAAACAGGGCTGCTGTTGAGGCATCGTCTGTATTTTATAGTGTTATCAGGATTCATATGGTATAATGCTTTGTCGTTCACCTGAATATATCTACGCTAAGCTGTTAAGATTAGCAGAAGTGATCTTCTGTCACTTTTTTTTTCACCATAGACAAATCTTGCAAAAGGAAATTCACCGAAGAGAAAAATGTGAAGAAGAGAAAGAAAGCAAGGTAAGGCATAATATTAAAATTCTATTCTATGAGTGTTTGTTCAAAAACGTCTTTGTTACTTTTTCAGCTCCGACAGATAGAGCTCATTAGAGAGTTCATTATGAACGACACAGAGCTACGGGATGAGACTATAGAAAAACTTCCATTTCTAAGACCTACTCCTGAAGACAAACACGATTACTCAGACAGGTCTGTATCAAGCATTTGTAGCTTGCTGTATTATCATTTGTTCTATTCCTTCTTATATGGGTAGGTGGATTTTAAAATGCAAAGCATTTTTTTGTGTACTGTTGACACTTTTTGTGTCTGTTTAGCCACCTACGTTTGGCTGCTCTCATGATCATTCTCAACTTGGGGTAAACCGAAATTAGTGTTCGAGGGTAAGATGGTTTGCCGAATATGTCTTGCTGGTCATGGTGTGAATAATGTAACAATCCCATTGCGTATGTCGTAAAACCCTCTTCACCAGACATATATGGCACATACCCGTATACCATGGGCAGGTATGTGCCACAAATGATTGACAGTTTATATCTACCCAGGATTGGGCAGCATTGAAATGAGGAATGCAAAGAATATGTATTATAGTCCCAGCAGGAATCGAACCCAAGCATTCTGTGCAAAAACCAAGTATTTTACCACAGAGCCATGCAAGGTCTCGGAACTGCGTTTCAAATCGACCCTGATATTTGTGAAACATCAATTATGGTTGCAGTGTTGGCTATGCAATTTTATAAACAGATGTACTCTTATGATACAGCAGTCACGTCAGATTAGTGTCAATGGTAGTTAGGTTCCATCCACTACAGTTGATTTTTGTAGCCGTGTCCAGGGCTACCATCCTGGCGAGCCCAAGCGTTGCAAACCAGCTTACTGCTTCTAGTGTTAATAGCCATGTTGGTGTTTGTAGAACTGGTTATATAAAACATGCAATTGTTCTACATAGTACGTCTATGTTTAAAACATTTGTACATGTCTTTAATGTCGTTTCGTAACATTATGTCAATTAAAACATTAGAACAGTCACCTTCCATCCGCATGCTTCGTATAATATCGATTTGTATGGTACAAGGGATCTGCCAAGTTTTTTTATTCATTATGTGCAATTAAAATTTTTTTCAATGGGTGTTTCATTTAGCAGGCATTTTCAATAAAATTATTCTCTCTCTCATTATGTGAAAGTTCCCAATGCATCGCATTGCTGTTGTTGTTTTACGTAAACAAATTAATGTGCCTGGTTATGCCACGTGTTTTACACTGCTGCACAAATGCGCATTCAGTATTGTGATGTTTAAGACATTTAAATAACTTGCGGTTGCGTCATTTCTGCAAACAGCTTCTTGGTCTTAGCTTATTGCTACTTTCCACACTATGAAATAAAACTACAATCCTACTAAAACTGTCGGCCAGTTGCAATTAATTGCAGTGGAAATAAGTTGGTTCGAATGAATCAGTTGGTAGTATGTGCTTGTACTTGTTCCCTCGTCTTTGTCCTTGTCTCGTGTTGCACCACTTTACTGCAGGTAAATATTGGAGCATATACATTGGCAGCGTGCACACACGACTCTCGGGCAGTCAAGATTAACCTGTAGCATCCGAACAACAAAAGTTTGTTGTAGCACTATGGGGCCTCGTAGGGCAGATTTAGCTTGGGAAAGATAATAAAGCTTCACGAAAACACTTCCACTTGATGAACACCTTTTGCATGTGTAAAAATAGGATGCTGCATTTTGCACAGACAAGTTCACTGCCTGGTTTGTGATGTATGTAGGCTGGGCACCATCGATGAGTCTATCGGGTCAGCCCTTTCGCCTTCTGGTGACGACTTGGACATCAGCGATAGTAGGCCTCGCAGGAGCTCACGTTTCAAAGGTCGAGGGAAACGTCGATCTAGTGCAGAGCAAATTTCGGACAGTGGATCGCCAATCAAGAAAAAAACCAAGGTTGGTCACTTCATATGTTTGTTCTAATTTTAACGTGATAGCGTTAAAGAGCTCGTTTCGCAGAAATTCTGGCATCTGTGTCGGCGTTGGCGGTTGGGAGCAAAAAATTATCACCTCATGCGTGACCGAAAAATCGTAAATGCTCCAAATAAATAAATGATAAAAAAACCCTGGAGCAGAGTGGGGACCGAACAAGGATTGTTAGGGTCCGAGTGGGGATCGAACCCAGGTCGTTTGCGTGGCAAGCAGATGTTCTGCCACGCGGCCACGCCTCTGCTTGTGAAAACAGTGAAAAGAACTTCCTCTGTTTGGAAATGCAGTGATAGTAGCTTTCATGCTTCACAAACACGCGCATCCTCTATATATGCTTCACTATGCAACATGAAATATTATGGTAATAATGATGGTCAAGCGTCCATGCAGACAGGCATCGGACTATGTAATCATAATGGCTCCGTGGTTGAAAGCTGGTACACCACTACAAAAGGCACACACACCACAACGCCTATTACCTCAAGGCCACATAGTGGGTGCATAGCAAGTTTTTGATGTCGCTATCGCATTCAACTCCTAAAAGCGAAGCTTTAGGTTCCCTTAATGTTTGTTTTTTTGTCGGCAGATGCACGCTTGTACTTATCAGAATTTAATCTGCATCCCGTTTCCAGGTGCTTAGAAAAATGCAATATCCTGTACACCTGAGCACTTCTTAACAATTGTAAACTATCCAATTAAACGCTCAGCATGGCTGTCAGCAGTACACTGCAGTGTCAACGCCACATACCACCCACATGCTGCACAACCAAGGAAGTATGTAACAGCTACCAAGGCTGGCAGGTGTGCATAGCAGCTTAGCCTAGTTGGGGTCAGAGAGATGCAGGCCGCATGCAATGCCCCCTAGATGGCAGGCCTGTGCACTCTGTTTCATCACGTAGAGATACTTGGACCACAATTTCAATAGCCAAGCTCAACATGATGAAAGTGGTGGGGTCAAAATTTCTGTCGTCACAATTTCTGTCCAGAATGCGTGATGTCATAAAGCTGTAGGTTAACCCACAGTTTTCTTGAAACCCCGAGCATTTATAGGGAGCCAAGTTCCTTAAGTACTCACAATGTCCGCAATCTGTGCTGCGTCGTCCACAGTTGTGCGGCGCACCATGTGAAAAACAACCACACTGCTCAGCTCGGTGGCGGCGCATTGCGACCAGGAGTTGCTGATAAAGGCGCGTGCTCCCTGCAGCCTGGCCACCACGATGGAAAACAGTGCAAACAAGGTGTTGCTCACAGCGATAAGGCGGAAACGTTGCGACTTCAACCGCAACCTACCATCTCGAGAAGCGGGGTTGCGACAACGAAAGATGCGAGGGCTCAGAAATGTGGCTCATCGAGTTTCCAACGGCCACGCCAACTTTATCGTCCGGAGGCGAAAGGGATGAAAGCCGCTGCGCAGCAGCTACCTGCACGACCAGTCGGCCTGGGGGCAAACGCTCATGACCAGTCCCTGTGCCGCCGTGCAAGAGAGAAACAACCTCACGGAGTTTGTAGGGTACAAGAGTCTTTTTATATAGTTTCTCATTTCGTCCATGGAGCTTCGCTCTATCAGCATTCGCTTCATGGATATGCAGGGAATTTTTTTTTCAGTGTTGTGCGAATAACAATGTTTTCAGTGTGAAGTGCATTAGAATATTAAAGTGAGTGCGAATCAAATTGAGTATTTCTAGAATATGTTTTTTATACTTCAAATCGACATTGCAGGGAGAAAATTTTCAGAGGATTTCTAAGGATACGCTTGTGAGATAGCAACTTGAAAGCGTTTCTTTTGGTTAGATTGATCAAGTGCTGGCAGGGTGGTGTTGCATTGTTGTCTTATGAAGAAAGAGGCAACGCAGAGGCCAAATTCTGTTTATGTACCTGATTGGGTGCAACTGAAGTGTTGCTAAGAACACTCTACACATGAAACGCATGTAGGTGCTATTTCCTCTTTCAACTGCTGTGGACGCCGGAGTGATGTGGTGGACAAGGGTGTGTTCGCTTCGAGTCGGGAGTTCCAAATCTGCCTTGCAGATTTTAAGGGGGGATGAGGGTCTTAAAAAAACGTTTTTTATTATCCTACTGTCATGAAAATTGCCATGCCTGCGTGTCATTGACTAGAGATTTCAAATCTGCAAATAGATTTGAAATATCTCGTGTAGAAAAAAAAAGTAATGACAGCTTTCTGCATTATAATTAGGTATTTTCTTAAGGGTTGTTATGGTAACTCGCAATAAAAAAGTTAGTTTTCAAAACTACATGTTTCCTCTAAAAGGTTCATCCCTCAGGCGATAGCAAACTAGATGTCAAAACTGTTAGTTCTTAGATCAGAATGAATTTTTAAACTTGGAAGGTGAAAATGAGCTTCCAGCAAATAGCTGGCATTTATGATATAATTACAATTCTATCAAGGTCGAGAGAAAAGAAACAAGCTTTAGCCGGTAGTTCAAGTGCTGCAGAAGAGAATGGTACCAAGTTTGTTTAGATATCTTCACAGAAACTTGCTTAAAACTTCCATAAAGCAGATTGACTTCACAAAAATAACAATGCCAAGGAAATTATGTTTCTAGTTTTAAAAACCTTTGTAATTTCATATATTAAGCTTTTAACAAAAAGAAATGATATTCTGTCATAATTTAAAAAATTTCTAAATCATACTTTCGACTATAAATACTTCAAATTTCAATTTTTGAAAGTCAGCATTTTTACATTTCTGTGCTCTTTTAAAACGCTCGTCCCCCCTTAAAGGGATACTAAAGTCAAATAACAATTTACGTCAGAGTGAAAAGCTCAATGTATGACAACATCTAAAACAACATTATTATAAACAACAGTGCCCTACAAACCGAAAAATTAAGGTAAATGCACGAGAACACATGCACTGCAGTAGGACCTTTTCAAAATTATCCTGATGACATCAGAAAGACTACACAATTAATCAATCTAACTGCACTAAATAAAGAACCTTCTGTGCATCAAGAGACGCAATAGAATGCTGCTTGTGCATTTCTGTTTTATTCGTGGAAAAAAGAACCGCCAGAGTTACTATGGGGAATGGCGCGAGTGGTTCAATAATTCAATTTTTGTGTGGGCACACGGGGCAGGCGGTATTTAGAGGAGCGCATTTGAACCAAAAAACGTGTGCAATCTTGAAGCCAATGGCGGAAAATTGATCAATGGCCGTTATTGCTGCTGTGGCTCTCGCTGCTTTCGGTCTGCTGCTACTAGCGCAGTAGAGCCGGTCAACGTTGTGCACGACAACAGTGGCGTGAGTCGGTCCGGTCGTCTGTTTCTTGAGGCGGGTAATTTGAAGTGCGCTGACCCGATGCAGACCACCAAAACGTGATCTTATTTAAATATAGGTCCTTCCTTGGCACAAAAGTAACACTAAGAGGTTCCTGGACCACTATTTCAACAATCAACATAGATTTAATAGTTGCCTTTAGTGTCTCTTTAATCTTTATATAAGAACATCTGAAAATTTGAATGCTAGAAATCTCCGGCGTACAATGTTGCTTACTTCCTGCCCAAACTTCAGGTCCAAAACAGCATTATTTAGCCTCCACCTCTGCCACATCTATCACCTCCATGTTAGAACCAGCATTTTCTTGAATCAATGCACTTGCGAGTGTAGCTGAGCCTGAAAGGCAGCTATGCCGCAATACGAGTGTGTAGTGAGGTGAAGCATGTAGCAGCTACCAAAGCTGGCAGGTGTGCACAGCAGCTTAGCCTAGTTGGGATCAGAGAGATGCAAGATGCATGCAATGCCTCCTAGATGGCATTCCTGTGCACTCTGTTTTATCACATAGATACTTGGACCACAATTTCAATAGCCGAGCTCAACATGATGAAAGTGTTGTATCAAAATTTCGGTCCAGAATGTGCAATGTCATAAATCAAAGTTAGTAGGTCTTTCGAGAAAGCTGTGGGTTAACCCACAGCTTTTTCGAAATTCAGAGCGTTTATAGGGAGCGAAGTTCCTTAGGTTCTCGCGATGTCTGCAATCTGTGCTGCATCGTCCACAGTCATGCGGCGCACCACACGAAAAACAACCGCATAGCTCAGCTCGGTGACAGCACATAGCTACCAGGGGTCGCTGATGAAGGCGTTTGCTCCCCGCAGTCTGACCACCACCGTGGAAAAGAGTGCAAACAATGTGTTGCTCACAGTGGCAAAGTGGAAACGTCACGACTTCAACCGCGACCTACGATCTCGAGAAGCGGGGTTGCAACTACGAAGGACGCAAGGGCACAGAAATGCGGCCCAAAGAGTTTACAACAACGGCTGCGCCAACTTGATCCGGAGCTGAAAGGGACGAAAGTCGCTGCACAGCGGCTACCTGTACGACCAGCCGGCCTGGCGGCAAACACTCATGACCGGCTCTTGTGCCGCCGTGCAAAAGAGAGAGAACCTCATGGAGTTTGTAGGGTACAAGAGTCTTTTCATATAGTTTCTCATTTTGTCCATGGAGCTTCATTTCACCATCAGTATTCACTTCGTAGATATGCAGTTAATTTTTTTTTTCAGTGCTGTGCGAGTAGCAAAGTTTTGAGTGCGAAGCACATTAGAATATTGAAGTGAGTGCGAATCGAATCGAGTATTTCTACTATATTTTTCTTATACTTCAAATCAACATAGCAGGAAAAGAAGTTTCAGAGTATTTATAAGCATATGTTTGTGAGATAGCAACGTGTAAGCATTTCTTTTGGCTAGATTCATCAAGTGCTGGCAGGGTGGTGCTGCATAGTTGTCTTATGAAGAAGGAGGCAATGCAGAGGCCGAATTGTGCTTGTGTACCTGATTAGGTACGACTGAAGTGTTGCCAAGAACACTCTACCCATAAAAAGCATATATGTGCTATTTCTTCTTTCAACTGCTGTGGAAGCAGAAGGGATGTGGCGGACAAGGGTGGGCACCCTTGGAGTCAGGAGTTCTAAATCTGTCTCATAGATGTTAATATATAAGAACATCTCAAAATCTGAATGCTAGGAATCTTCGGCGTACAATGTTGCAGACTTCCTGCCCTAACTTCAGGTCCAAAACAGCATTAATTTAGCCTTCACCCTTGCCACATCATCTCCATGTTAGAACGAGCGTTTTCTCAAATCAATGCACTTGCGACTCTAGCCGAGTTTCAAATGCAGCTTTGCCGCAATACGAGTGTGTGGTGGGGTGAAGCATGTGAGACGTCCCCCTTACGCCCCCAATCGCCAAAGAGAGGGAAGAGCCCTCAATCCCCTTTTTATCCTGTTCTCTCTTGGCTACGTGTCTCAATCACTTTCCACATACAGGGATTCGTGCTGGGGCTGGGAAGTAAGGGACGCTACGACCTGTTTTTGTTTACCGATTCATTTAATTTAATAGCAAGTGCAAATGGCGCACACACATACTGTCCGTGAACAACATCTCTGTTACACGAAATCGTAACACATCAGCAAATACTCGTGACACGCGTAACAGGATACATAAGCGAAGTAACTGTGACATTACAAGGGTGCCTCAATACAGACTAAACACACGACGACACAAATGATAAAGTCATGAATTAATAAAACCGCGCAATGTCTCAACATGCCGCATCTTTTCCCGCAAAGCTCGTTTAAGTAAAGGAGGTGAAGTTCGTCTCACAGAATGTCCATGTAGGCGGGGCCTCGGAGTTGGCTGCTCGAATCGGGGCCGAAGGTTGGTTCTTGGCGTCGAGGTCTGATCCGTCCAATTCGTCAGCGTCTTCATCGTCTTCGTCATCGTCCCCTACGTCGTGCCTCTCAGTGATTTCCATCTTAGCTTCTCTACCATCTCGAGCTCATCGCATCGTCTCTCTGACTCCCTCGTATCATCTCGTAGTCCCTTTTTGTAGGACCCGACTCCGCCCTACCGGGGCACCAAACCAATCGCCACCATCCACGCGGCATATTTCTCTGTCAGTCGGTGTGTGTCATCTTCATAGGCCGCTCCCGCGGCCCATACCAGTGGAAAACCCTCTCCCAAACAAAGCCGAGCAAGTAACAATGTACAAACTCAAGCCTCAGGGATGGAGATGGGCGAGCCGTCCGAAGACACTTTAATTACGGGCGAAGAATGGTCCCGATGCTTCCGACAAAGTGCGTCGTCTATAATGGCCAACGTCCGGAGTTTGCAATGTTGTGCCAAATGTTTTCGGCCGAACCAATTGTCCCGGTTTCTGGTACTTGATGAGCCGATGTCCAGAACGAGTCCCGACGTCTCCATGCAGCTCGGTGTCTCCCGCGAAATTCTCCATCGCCGCCGCTTCTCTGTCATTCACCGCCGCGGGCGGCCATCCGCGCAGAACGCAGTAATGAGCCCTGGAGCCACGGAGGCTGACGGAAAGTCATACTGGACCCGGCACAGGCGCTGCGGCAGCGTCGCATTCCCCGAACCAACAAAAGGTGCTCTGCAGCTCCCCCATGCCACAAATCTGAAGGGTGCGTGCGGATTATCTCCACCGTACACTGTCTGTAGACGACAAGGCGCCGCCCGGTCCTCGTGTTTACGCGG